GTGCAGTGCTATGCTCCAACCGGCTGCGCCACCAGGGAGAGCCCAGAATGTGTCAAATTCTGTGGAGCAAAACAAATCCTGTAAGTGGATATAAAGGTGGAATCATGGAGATTAATTTAGATTGATTAATCAATAAAGTTTGTAAGATGCCATGTGACAGAAATCTGAAGGAAGTGAGACAATGAAGAAAGTGAGAATGCAAACCATCCTTATGCCTGGGGGAAAGTTTCTCAACAGACTAAACTGACTCTGAGGTACAAGGAAGCAAATGCAACTGGAGTAGTGAACAAAAAGATCTTCCCTCTGTCATTCTCCAATATGGAGGTAGGTCTATCTGATGTGGCAAGAGGTGGGTTAGGAAGGGGTAGGGGGATAGACAAGAGGAGATGGTGGTGATGCATCTCTTTGTCCTAATTTTATATGCACTATCATGCACCCAGATAATTGGTATAGAATTACCAGGGACTTTGGGGGATATAAGTACTTTGACTTTTATTCCAAATGAAGAAAAGCCATTGAAGGGTTTTAAGCAAAGAAGAACATTCCACTTAAAGTGAAACACTTTGTCCGCTTTTTGGAGGTGTGTGCCAGTGCAAGTAGTTAGCCCCATCAAGAGCATATATAAAATATACTTATGCAAATGAAGAAGATACCTGTACCAAAGTGGCAACGATGAAAATTGTAAAAGTGGTAAAATTCAGCATTTATTTGGGAGAAAGAAATGAAAGGATTTTCTGGAGAACTGGCATAAAGTAGGAAAGAGGAGTCAAGAATGAGTGAGCTTTTGAAAATGATAGATTAGAGCTTCCATTTATTATGAAGCAAACTATTTTGTGAGAACCAGCTTGAGGAAGTGGTTGAAGTCAAGGGTATGGTTTTGAGCATGTTAAATATGAGATGCCTATTAGACATCTAAAGATAAATATCAATTAAACATTTAGATATGCAAGTCTGGAGTTGAGGAATGAGCTCAAGTAAACTATCAGCATGTTCTCAATGAATGTTTAAACAAAAGTCGTAGGACTAGATAACTAGGGTGTGAGTACGGATAAAGAAGGGAAGAGATTCAGATGTGATGATCAAATTCTGGAACATTCTTATGTTTAAAGTTCAGGAAGTTGGGGGAGGAATGACATAGAGATAGAAAACTGTAACAAGTGCTTCAGGAGAGACATAGGCAGTCTTGGTCCCTGGTTGAGAAAGAAGACTGAGAAATACCCATTGGATTACCATTTCAGGTCACTGGACATCTTGAAGTAAAACAAAAAAAGAACTGGAGTTAGGGAGTAGAACTCTTAAGAAATTTTGCTGTAAAAGAAAACGGTACAAGTGGAAGCTTTGTATTTGCTGGAGGGGATAAAAGTCCAAATGTGACATTTTATAAAGTGTGGAAAAATAACACCATTTTTACGTCTCGTGGGAAGCAACAAATAGAAAGGGCAGACTTGATGATGTGAGTGAGGCCAGTTATAAGTGTGATGTCCTTGTGTCCTTGAGTATGTAGAAAGGTTGGGCTTCAGAGGGAAGATGCTTTTAGGAAACAACATAAATACTTCAGCCATTGTAGCAAAGCAAAATGCTTCACATGTGAATATAGATTATGTGATCAGTGCAATGATAAGCAAGTATAAGTTTTTCCTGTGATTAGTTCTAAATTCCCAGTGAAGTAAGAGGATTATCAGGAGCAGTGAGAAGAGGGAGGAGGGTTGGCAGATTGAAGGAAAACTAAGAATGTGTGAAATTATCATTTGTAATAAAGACTATTGAATGTTTTTTTTTAACAGTAATAGAATTTAAGAAAATCACTATCCAATATGTAAAGGCTTGAACACACATTAAGAGTGTGCACACACAAACACACACACATCAAGAATTTCAAGAGTCTTATTTCACTTTTACTTTAATGCTATTTAATTAAGTAAAGGTGTATAGTGACTTACTAAATAATTTCAGGACATACTAATAGTTTGAAAACACTCATGTAGAAAAATCGAGACAATTTTCTGAAGAAATATGAGTCTTACATAATACAATAAAACAATAAGGATAGAATGTAAAGTTATATTGTTCAACATAATCAAATGTGAAATCGTATGCAGGGTTTATCCCCAGTACCTCCTCCTATTGAGACCTCTGTTTACTCTCAATTCCCTTATTTTACAATAAATGGCTTGAGACCTCTCAATTTTCTTCCATTACCCATTTTCTGTAATTCTCTACTATCATTTGTTGTTTAAAAAAAGTTTCTGCCTTCGCCTTCCTTGGTGGTGCAGTGGGTTAGGAGGCAGCACTTCAAGCTAGCTGCAGCCACTTCAGTGCAAGTTCAATCCCTGGCCCCAGAGGTGATCAACATGGCGCAGCAGACCTCTCCTGTCTCACCTGCTGCTCCCCTTAGCAGCATACTTCATTGATCTGCCTGTTCTGCTCCCCACTCAGTCTCTGGTGAAGCCTTTCACCACCCCTGCACCTCTGACCCATACCCCAGTTCTGTATAAATCTTTTTTTTTTTAAGATTTATTTATTTATTCATACAGACCTGGGGATACAGGCCAAAGATGTGGAGGGGGGAGGATTCACCAGGGACAGAGTGGGGAGCAGAACAGGCAGATCGATGAAGTACACTGCTAAGGGGAGCAGCGGGCGGGTCAGGAGAGGTCTGCCCAGCCATGTGGATCACCTCCGGGGCAGGCAGGGATCGAACTCATGTGGAAGGGGCTTAAGCTTCTTAGTACAGTGCTTTCACCTGCTGCGCCACCAGGGAGGGCCCTCTGTATAAATATTTAAAAAAAAATCTTTCTTTAAAAAAGTTTCTGCCTCTAAACTCTTACAGCTTCTCTTTTTCTTTTCATTAATTTAACCCTGGTTCAGACCCCTATTACTTTGTCTTCATTTATTATTTTTACTTTTATCATCATTATAATGGGTGTCCATGATGAGAAACATATTTTAAAAAGACAACTTACCAAAGAAAATATCAGTCATGATTTCATTAGTTATGAGATTGTCCAGTTTTAATATTGGAATATACAACTCAATCTATCTTATGTGTTTATCTATTGTCCACTGTCCTTACAATTGTTTGTGTAATCAGTGTGACCGTGACTTATAATATGCTTTTTTTAAGAAAAAACATTGTGAATCTCTGTCGATATTATCACGTTTGACAAAAGTCATATTCAATAGCTTCAGAAATTTTCATGTCTGGTGTTTTATTTTAAACCATTTTGTGAGAATTTTTAGTTGTCTGCATGTTCTTTTTAGATCTGGGGCTGCAGGGAGCTTAATTTGCCACCCACTTCCAGCTGTGAGGCTCTAAAATTAGTCACCTCTTAGTTTGTTGCAAGGGACAACTTTCTCTGGGTCAGTCTTTGTCAATAACAGTGTTCTTGAAATGTAAGTAGACAGGCCCACTTCTTGGAGCTTTGGGATTCCTCTGATGTGATGTTAACCTGAGGTCTCCCTGATAGCCAGAAAAACTTTCCAGAGAACTATGCCCAACTTTCCCTTCTTCCTTCCCTCCGGAGACTTCCAAGAAGTCTGAAGGTTCTCCCTTCTTTCCCATTATCTCTTAAAGGCCTTTCTTTTTTTTCCTCTAGTGATTTTTGTGCACTTAATCCCAAGAGGCATCTATTTCTCGAAGGACCCAAACTAACACAGCCATTAAGGTTGTTTTCAATTCTTTATTCTTTACAATGAAGCTTGTGATTGCTCTACACTTAGCATCTCAGCATTTTTCTGTTTGGAGATCTTCAAGGCACCACCATTGTCCACTAAATCACGGCCAAACTCTTCCTCTTCACATCTACAATATGGCCCTAGCCCATCTTGCCAAACACTACCCACTGCTAAGTCCAGTCCAGGGCCTGCACACTAAATATCTCCCTCTTGTTTCACTTCCCCTCCCCGCCTGCACCCAAAAAGCCAAAATACACCGATCCAGTGGAAACCTACCTCAATTTAAATACCTTCTTGATTTTTTTCACCCTAATGTCACCCTAATGTTGTTTCACCCTAGTGTTTTTTTCCCCTCAATTTTAAAGGTGTTTCCTGCAGATTAATCACTCTTCTTGATATGTTAAAAGGGAGGTATGTATGCTGACCTGTACATAGTCTGTTTGTAATCAGACAGACCTGAATAGTTACATCATCATGAAACAAACAAAAACCCATACAACTAGCAGAAACTGAATGGATGAGTAGAAACATTAAATAAAATAACTAAATAAAAATAACTCAAAATTTTCTGTTCTCTTAATTGCAGGGCTTCCCAGGGTACTTACAACTGCAGATAGACCTTGTGACTCACATAGTTTGTCTC